TTTGCTCTAAAGTAGAAACAAGGCTTGGTGTGCTCTAAATTGTAAATGAGAGCAGCAGCTGTGTGCCCTCAATTGCGGCTACTCACTAGTCCTTCGCAGTATGTCAGGTAACCTCTTCTGGATTAATCTAAGCCTTGGCCCTGATCTCTGACTTCAATATGACAGCTCTAAGAGTGAGATGGCTGTGTTGTTCTCTGTCTACTGCCTGTGCCAACAACAGTGCTTGGAACACAGTAGTCCTTAAAAAATAACTGCTGAAAGAGTAACAGATCAGGAAAGATGTTGCCAAAGAACGCTCAGGGAAGGCCATCTCCATACCACTCTTCTGGAGGCCTGAGAAATGTTAAGGAGTAGGTAATAACACAGGAAGCACCAGCCCACACCACATTACCTGAGTTTGTGTTATGTTTCTTGATAATCCACAGGTTGTTGTAGTCCTTGTGCAAGTAGGTGGTGATCTGGGTAGGGATGGGAGGGAGAACAGCATCACGGTCAGCACAGCTGGCCACAGGACACTCAACGACAAACTGACATCACTTAAGCCTCTTTCAGAATCCCCAGCCATCAACCCGAGAGGCCATGTTTTCCAATAAGGTTCAGAAGTAGTATTGGTGGGATTTTTCTCCTTCGTTCTGTATTTAGAGGGTTTTTCCCATAAGAGCCTTTTTGATTTGTCTCTTTGTATCTTTCCACATCTTATCTTGTAAAGTTCCAGTCTTCTAGAGGTAGGAATCATGATACCCTGTACAAGACAGTCTCCAGCACACAAAGAGGATTTAGCGCATTTTAGAAAGTAATTAAAAGACTATGCCTCAAACGTTCTAATGGAAAAAATTCATGCCATTATATTTTCTAGAATATAGCCAAATGAAATAAAAACTCCATAAATATCTCACCCTAGACGCCTGAAATTTTAGCCCATAGCCATTTTGCACGCACTGATTTTTTAATTACATGTGTGTATATACATGTGTACACACATGTAATGCTGCCATTAATCTAAAAGCAAAAATCTGGAAACAGTATAAATGTCCGATAAGAGAGGAATAGTTAACATGATGGTATATCCACAGGAAAGACTGTTACACAGCCACAGAAAATGTTTCAAAGCCTCTTTTACCAGTATAGGAAAAGGCTTATAAAATGCCGATGCTGAAAATGGCTACCATCTCTCACCAGGCACTGTTTCAAGCACTGGGCAAATCTTATGTTGTAGGCACTATGGTTATCCGTACTTTGCTTACAAGGAAACAGAGATTAGTATTAGGCTCCAGGTGACACAGCTTATCTCTGGGAACAGGATTCAAACCGAGGCAGCTAACTCCAATGCTCCCAGGATAGAGACCATATCAACACAATTATGCCAATGATATAAACAAGAACATAAATGCCCAGGAATAACAGAAACATAGGCATTTCTCCGACAATGTAAGTTTTTATAACTCCAGTTGGACAAAACACAACTAACTTGCAAAGAGATTTGGAATTAGCATTTAGGAAAAAAACCATGCATGTATTATAGCTACTTTGTTTTAGTAGATTTTGCTTTCTACTAGGGATAACAGCATTAAGAATAGACAAGAAACTAAGAAGTTTTGGTAGCCATGAGAAATTAAGCCCACACTCCTGAGCAAAAGCTACAAACAGTTCACCCACCTTGGATTTGCTCAAGCATGTTAATTTGTAGTGCTCGTACATGCACTGTGTTTTTGTTTTTTGTTTTCCAGTAATAATTATTATTAAGATTTCTATAAGAAAAATTACTTATTTATTGTGAGTAGAGTAAATGGCCTCTTTTTCCCATTGAAACATTTGTTTTTACAATAGAGTTTTTATAACATGAGCTCTCCTAGGAACACAGGTATCTTATTACAACAGAATGTTGTACATCAAACACCTGTGGATAAACACTGACCTTCTGGAATTATGTGGAGCTTTTGTTTACATTCTTATAGTCTATATTTTCCAATTTTATTTTATAAATGTTATGTTTTAAAAAACATTTAAAAATACAGAACTAAAGTTGTTGACAAGACATTAAACCACAGGGCACAGAGGGCTACTAGAAGCTATTTAGCCCAAACACCCCAATTTACAGATGAAGAAACCAGCTGAGGAAGGGCTCAGTAATTCAGTGAATGACAAAACCAGCTCTTGTCTCCCTTAGCCCAACGTGCTTTCTCTGTACCACCATCATGATCTCATGCTTCCACATACAGGCTGCAAGTGAACACCGCTCCCACTGGCTTAATAGGGCTTTTCCGACCTTGGCCTTTTTCTCCCTTTACATAGTGTAAATGCTCCTGGTCACCACGTCTGTAATTCTGTTTTCTACATGACACTTTATTGCAAGGTATTACCATGAAAGGGCCAGCTGTGGTTTTCTGCCCTGGCTGTACATCAGATTCTTCTGGAGAGCTTAAAACCAAAACAAAAATTCACAGTGCATGGGCCCCATCTCAGATCAATTAAGCCAGAATCTCTAGGGTGGAGCCCAGGCATCAGAATTTAAAAGCTCTCCAATGGACTCTAAAGTGCAGCCAGGGTTAAGAACCACTGGGCTAGGAGATAAGTAGAGAATCAATAATGAGAATCTGATCCTAAAACCCAATATTCTGGGTCAGCTTTCTAGTAAACTAGTAAATAAGGAAGTAATAATAAAGTATTTTGAGAAGCAAAACTTTTTTGCAAAGTAAAAATACTGGTCATTTTGCAAGAGGATTTTCACTTCTAAGCTCCTCAGAACAACAGCCTGCCCTGTAGCCTTCACTTCCTCACCTCTCACCTACTGCTTAAGTCACTGCACCTAGGACTTCTGCCCTTGCCAGCCCGCAGAAACTATCCTCCTCAGAGGCCTCGCCTTCCCTGAGGTCTTTGCAGCGCCTGACCTGTGCTCACCTCCTCCGCCTGGGGCCTCTCTTCCCTGTATTCCCCTCCACTCCTTCCAATCGCCCATTCCGCCTTTCTCCTCAGCCGCTTCTACAGGCGCAGATCTCAGCATCTTTAAAGCTGCCTTAAATGTTGCTGTTCCCCTGGGTGCCTTCACTGGCACCCCACCCTGCACACCCATTCTAGGCACTGTCACCTATCCCACTGTGTCACTAACACCCATGTGCCACATACTCAGATCTCCTTCCCGAGACAAGCACCAGACCTAAAATACACTAAGGGAACTCTATCATCTACAAAGCCACTCTTCCTCCGCCACTTCTGATCATGGTGACACAGCATTCCCACCCATACACCTGGACCCCCAACTAGAGACCTAGACATAGCTCACCCCTGACATCGCCATCCTGTTACCATCATCAGTTACTGGGCCCTGACACTTGACCTGTGAAGTGTCCCTGAATCAATTCCCACCTCCACTCCCTGGTCTTTGCCTCTGTTCACCATCCTTTGTCATGACTTTTGCCTCCTAACTGGTTGCCTACCCCCCGTCTGCCCCTCCTTTCAATCCATCACACTCCTACTGGTATGATCTTACTAAGCTAGAAATCTAATCACAGCCCATTGTCCTTTAATAACTTTCAGTACCTCCCCAGGGTCTACAGAACAAAGTCAGACCTACTGGAACATGCAAGGCCTCTCCACACCGTGGCCCCACCAACCTCCCCAGTACTCTGCTTCTTCTCGCAGGCACGGTCCACCACAGCCACACCTAACATCCCATACCACGGACACAGACGCGTCACTCACTCTCTCAGATAACACTCCTAGCTAACCCCCAATGTGCACTTCACATGACTATCTCACTCTGACCCTCACAACAACCCTATAATGGAGAGAGGTACTATTGATTTTTCCCAATTTAAAGATGAGGAAACTGAAGCACAGAACGGTAAGGCACTTGTTCAAAGTCCTCCTTGGATGGAACCAGGATGCAAACCCAGGTGATCTGGTCTGGTTCCCAGGTCTGTGTTTAAAACCACTACACATTACTCATCTTCCACTTTATGCCTGGCACAGTGCTAGGCACTTGAGCCTTCCAGGAGCCAGCGATCCACAGCAAAGAAACAGGAAGAAAGAGCACTCACAATTCCCTGTGAACAGCATTACCAAGCAGGCGTTACCACAGGGTTCTGAGACAGCCTCTCAGACGAGGGACACCTAAACCAGCACAGGAAGAGGGAGGCCATGTGGCCGGCGGGGAGCCCCACACTGAAGCCTAAAGGAGCCAGAGTTAGCCAGAGGAGAAGGGCGCAGGAGGAAAAGCATGTCAGCGGGCAAAACAGCGCGGGAGAAGGACGGGAAGCCAGAGAGAATGGTGGGTTCAGCCACGACAAACAGTTTGGTGTCGCTGCTTAACGCAAACAAAATACAAGCGCACACAAGGCTCACTGACCTGCTGCTGGCGGGCGCCAACGCCCTCAGGGTAGAGGTGCCTGTGGGAGTGGAGGTAGCCGATGGCCATCCGCAGGTTCTTCACAGTGATCACAGAGCCATAGGCCAGGTCTGGGAGGAAGGAGGGTGGCAGCAGGTGTGAGCTGGCACGGCACTGGAGGCTGGCCCTGACTGGGGGAGGCCTCTGAAGCCACAGGACTCACTAGCCCTCTAACAGACCCCGCTGGGCCCAGGATGGCCTAAAGCGAGACGCACCGCTGCCTTCCCACTCCAGTGGAGTCAGTCCATCTACAGAGGGGGTTCACTACAGGCTCACTTGTGCCCTCCCCCTCCTCCCTAGGGATGTCAGAAGAAGCTGCGTTTATAATACAAAGATTAGAAACCCCTTGTCCTTTAATCAACGTCTATACATACATTCAATGGAATAAACAAGGAAGAAGCATTCTGTCATCCAGAATGTTCTCCAAGATATAATGTTATGATAGACTTTTAAGATAGACTTCCCTATATATCCTTTTGTGCCTTTTGAACCTAATACCAAAACCATCCTATGGTTTGGGGTGTTTTTTTTTCTCTGAATTAAAAAAAAAAAAAAGAGTAAACAGCTTACCCAAGAGCAGCCCCTCCTCCCACAGTCCCTGCTTACTGAGAAGCCTTTTCCTTATGACTGTCCTTCTCAACCCCCTGTAAACGGACGCCCTGCTAATTCCCACTCCACAGAACTATTCTCATTCCACAGTGATGGCCTATTCCTGTCTCCTCGTTGGCCAACAGACCACAGGAGTTACAAGCGGGTCCAAAGGTGGAGGAGGCCTGGCTGCGGCCCTGGAAGAACTCAGTCTTGGGGAAGGTGGCTTCACACACTGATGAGCAAAGGACAGTGGGCAAATGCTCAGCAAAAGTATGACAGTGTACGACATGACAGGGAGCCCAGAGCAGGGTAGGATGAATTCTCGCCCAAAGAGAAGAAGAAGAAGCAATCACAGCTGAGCTAGGTGTTTTAAATAATGAGCATGAACTGGCTGACACCACAGCTGTTTTTCTAAGTTCTCGTGCAGACCAACATAAGCAGGCCAGCTCACTGCTGAACATCTTAACTTTGTGAAGTGCTGTGCCCACTTCTCAACCCTCCACCCACTCATGGACTGCTCCTTCGCAGCCTCCTTCCTTAACTACCCCCCCCTTCCTCCTGCATTCCACAATGAGCTGACCTCAATTCTCTTCCCCTTCCAAAAGTTTCCTTATGATGCCAGCCACTGCCATAGCACCAGCTACCCCTTGGAAAGCATCAATCACAGCCTCCTGGCCCCATTGCTCAGATTTCCCCAAGCATCTCAAAATCAACTTCTCTAATGTGGAACCCGGTATCTGCCTTTCCAAACCAACTTTTTTTTTTGCCTGCTTTCCTATTTCTCATTCTTTCCATGGTGTTTTAGGCACTGTGCAAGGCACTGGAGACACTAAAGACATAGTCCTTGGGTCGAGGAAACAATCCCCTGGGTGCAAGTCCTCACTGACATCCTTCATCCTCTTCCCATGTCCAGTCTCCTTTGCATATGCTGTTTGCCTTACCCCTGCAGCCACCATGCCGAGCTCAAGTCCCTGCAATAGCTTTCCGGAGGATATCCTCTGCCTCTAATTCCACCACCTCTCTGGCCATCCTACTTGTGCCACCCGTGTCATCTCCCTATGGCACAGCCTTCCTGGCCTTCTTCTTGCTCAAAAGGTTCCATTGCCTGTTTAATAACATCCAACACCTCACCCAAATGTTTTAAACTTTCATAATCTGAACTATTACCTTTTCAACCTTATGCTCCAGTGCTTTTATGCATATAACCTATGCCTTAAGTTTTGCCCTCATCTTGGCCTTGGTCATGCTGCCCCTATGCCCCATATGCCCCCTCCTCCCTCTCCATCTGTTGAAATCTACCCACTCTTCCAGGACCTGACCCCAAGGCAGTATGTTCTATGTTCCTTTGATCCCCCTCCAACCCCCTAGCAGAAGTGAGCTCCTGCTCTTCAACCCCCACAGCTCTCTGCTCCCTGTTCATATACCAAGTACGATCAGTCACTGACTCTGCGCTCCGGAGGGCATCCATCTATAGCCTCCAATGGGCCTAAACACTTGCTCAACTACTGTCCATGAATAAGTGAGTGGACATGAGTCACAGAATACTGTGGTGGAAACAGACCACCAGCCCTCGAGGGCCTTGTTCTCTCACCAGATTCTCTCTGGTTGGCCTTCCCACAGAGCTGACTTGGATGATTCCAATGATTCCACAGTCATAGTGGAGAAGTTATTCCTTAGGGTCAAAGAGATCACTGCTCAAGATAGCTTCCTCTGCACTTCCTGAGTTCCAAGTCACTCTCGAGTGCTTGTACCATATCTATACCTGGATCTTTCTCCCATCTTGCCATCTATAGGCTAAAACAACTCAAGTTATCCTACTGGTCCTTTCCACTTCAACTCCCAGGAGTATTTCTGCCCTTCTGACACTCACGTTCAGGGATGGAAGCATTGTGAAGGCTGTTTCCTGAAAGCCTGGACTGGAAGGCAGAACTGAAGAAGCCGTCGCCAGGGCCACTGTGGGGAAAGAATGAACAGAAGAGAGTCAAGTTAATGGAGTAAAACTGTGATTTCCCAGGAGGCCTGGGAAGTACTTTGTGCAGTTATTTTAAAAGAAGTACAACCAGAGTGGCAGCATAGCTATCATGGGACAGACACAGGGGATGGAGTTAGAACACCTGTGATACAAATCCCAACTCTGCCACTAACTAGCTAAGTGACCTTCAGAAGTACCTAACTTTGCTTAGCCTCATTTATAAATAGGGGGTTTGAAAAAAATACCTAAAGAACTTAAAAATGATTATGATTGTATGAGATAATATGTACCAAATGGTGAACACAGTTCCTGACACTCAGTAGCTACTGGTTAAACAAGAGCTGCTGCTGGCTTTACTGGATTATTATCCTCACTCCAACTGCACACTGTTATAGTGGCCCAACCCTGTAAAGCACAAGGGACTTTGTCTAGGGATATGGGACAGTTTGGCCATTAGGAAATTCTCTTCTTCCTTCAGGCCAGGCCTTTCTGAGCCCTCTAGATACCCAAAAGACAGAACAAAGGAGGAAACAAACAGGAAAAAAAACGCTGGTCTCCCTCATCCTAGCCCAGGAAATCACACAGCCTTTCCATGGGTACAAAGGCAAAATGAAGACCATAAATGAGAGGCTGGAAAGGCTCTGCTGTACCTTTTATTCAGCACCATGAAGTGAACAGCGTAGATGGCCGTATAGAGAGCCAGAGGCAGCACTATGAGGCACAGGATGCGAGCAGCCAGGTGTTTTCCTACGGCCACCTGCAAACACAGCCAGTGTGAGGGGTGGGTATATGGGGCTTTATTATTCTTTATACTTTATGTGTGTGTTATATACCATCTTTATGCATAAGCCATAATCATAAAAAATTGAAAAACTAATGGCCAATAAGAAAGAATATGTGGAAACCCTAAGCCTTTCTTTCTGCAACACCCCACCACCCAAGCACTACAGGGGCTTGAACATGGGCCAGCCCTCTGTTGTCTGTCCAGGGCCTCACTGAGGACCCCAGACTGTCACTGCGCTGCACCTTCAGCACTGTCACTCTTTAGGCCCCTCTACATCCCAGTCCCCCGGAACTCCTTGTACTTTCCCCATGCTTCCTGTACTGTGCCAAGCCCACCCACCACACGGATAACTGATTCTTATCTTAACTTTAGGCCTCAACTTCCTCCCCGAAGCCTCACTGGCCTACCTGAGGCTGGGCTAGCACCCTCCTCTGGGCTCCTACAGCACTCATTGGCTGGACTGTCATGACCGGTTTTCTTATTTCTCTCCCTCCATTGTCTCTAGAGAGCAGAATCTTTGTTTTATTCATCTGTATATTCTGTGTTTTACACTTAATGGAGAGTCTGTCTATATTTTCTGAATGAATAAATGAACTTGTTGGTACTTTGGTTCAGAGGTGATGGCAAAACATTGTAGCAAAGAAGTTCAGGCCTGGGATCAGCCTCCCCTAAGTCTGAGTCCTAGATCTACATTTTACCACTTGTATAACCTTGAGAACATTATTACCTCTCTAGTTTCAGTTTTCTTATTTGTAAAGAGATGGCAATAACTACCTACCTCATAGGAGTGTTACGAGAAGCAAAAGAGGTAATGAAGGTAAAGCATTTTGCACAGTGCCTGGCCCAGAATCAACTCTCTTAATAAAAAGACTGTAATAAACCCTACAGGCTCTTCCTGGCCTCCAAATCTGAAGTCTCTGAGTCAGGAAAAGAAAACTGCAAATCCAGAAAGTCATCCCATCCCTTTTACCTAAGATCCCATGTGGTCAGTGTCTGCCATATGTTTGGCATCAGCCCAGCTGGACAGAATCCCCTGGCAGGTAGTTTGTAGAGCAGTTAAAAAATAATCACAGAAACAAGAACCAAAGGAGAATTCCAAGGAATGTTAGTTCATCCCCTCCTTTTATACCGCTCCAGCCTCCACCCTGGGCCCACTCCCCACTGCTGTGCTGCCTACAGAGGGCAGCTGGGACCAGCCCACCTTGGGCTGCAGAGGCAGAGAATGGCTGCTGGCTCTGCTGAGCAATACTAGGAGCAAAGACATTTCTAGAAGCTCTTGTGTTCTCACCACTGAAAGATTGAGGTCTCCAAACAGATGCCAAAGGTCTGAAATGGTGTTGCACCCCACTTGCAGGATGATAAAGAGGCCAACAAACTTGACCCCTAAAGCACCAGCCAGATTAATGCCGGTCAGGCTGAGCCAGAACCACCAGGGGGCAGAGAAGGGCCTGAAAACCAAAAGACACACAGTTCAGTTTGGCAACTGGAACCAAACTCAGACGCCAGAGCAGCAGTGGGAAAGGGCAGAGGTCCTCTGACCCAGAGAGGCTGTGCTGTGCCCTCCATCTTGAGGGCTCCTACCTCAGGGAACCCTGCATGGCTCCACAGAGAATATGGTCTGTGAAACGTGACACCACAGGAAGCACAGTGTGAAACTGAGTAGGGCATTTTTCTGGAGAGAGGGGCGGCCAAAGCTTTCCCAGCTAAGTACCGGGCTTCAAGTAAGCTGGAGGTTTATTCTTCAGTGGTGACCAGTCAAGCAGAAGTAAAAGGAAACTCCAGAGACGCCCCCTGGATCCAGTCAGCCTGTCCTTTGGGTCGCCTCCAGATGCCGTAAAACCCGTGATTACTGGTGCTTACTATGTGTCAGGCACTGTTTTTAGCTCTTTACATTCATTCAGGCTAGCCTTCACTATCACCCCATGCAGGCAGATCCCATTATTACCCTCTTTTTACATGAGGAAATCGAGGTACAGAAAGGTTCAGAAATACAGCTAGTGAGTGGTGGAGTACTACGGTTCTCACCCTAGCAGTTGGTTCCAAGGTTTGCTATATTTAAATCACCCAGTACTCTGTGCTGCAATTTTCGGATTTTCTGGCTCTCTCCCTGCCAGAGTGCATGCTCAATAGCCAAGAATGACACACCTCTGTACCTCCAACTCCTAGCACAGTACCTGGCACATAGTACATATTCAAGAAATGGCAGGTGGAAGTGGATGTGGTAGAAGGAGAAAATAACCCAAAGTCCAGGGGCACTGGTGGTCCCTGGATCAGGCTTCAGTAGCTTCATGCAACTGAATGGCTGGGCCTGGTGAAGCCAAGCTGGCTTCTGGAAAGCCTAGGCAGAGCTAGCTCTTTCAGTCTGCACAGAATGAATGACCTGTTCCACTCTCTGAGAGGCCGGAGGATGATCTGGAAGGCCATTCTGGAGGAAGACCAGGCCCTCCAGAACAGCTTTAGAACTGACCAGGGCCTGCAGGGATCCTCTCGACTGTTGTAAACCATTCGAGCCACCCTTTAAATACACTATTCCCATCATTAGGTCAGGACTGGACACAACTACTGAGGGCAAGGAGACAAATAGTTCCCAAGTAGTATCTGTCCTGGTACCCTCCCTGCTAGGACAGAGAATGTGAGAAAGTTGTCCTGGGATCTCTTAACCAGCACTGGTGTTAAGGAGTGGCTTATAAGATGGTGGGGTGGGGAAAGGCAATAGGACCCTTCCGAAATATCCACAGATCCCTACCCAAATCCACCCCCCTTGTAAAAATACTGGTAATACTCTTAAAAAAGTATTCTTAGTCTTGTGTAAAACAAAAATAAAAGTACTATAGAAAACTTTTTTAAATCTATTTTTATGATCTAAAATGGGCAATATAAGTTTTGAAAAAAAGTATGCTTCCCTTAAATTCAGCTTCAAGACAAGTCCTCTAGGCACCCACCCTACCCCTGGCCATTACAGAAATTCTGGAGTTGCCACAGCTTCTGACCACCCCTCCTAAAGATGGTGTTTCTGACCTGTCAGCACAGGAGTTGTACTTGACCATGCTCAGCATGGCAGCCATGATGAAGAACATCAAGATGGGGTCAAGGAGGATGTACTGGGACAGAGTGAGGCATCCTGTGTCTGAAAAACATGAGCTCAGTGGTCAAAATGTGAATCAGAGATTGGCCCCAAGAACCAAATACCCCAGCAATAAAAAACAGTGCCCCTTGTGCTAAACTGCATTTAAGCATTGTGTAGTCAAGGCTAGATGGGCCCCTGAGTCATCAGGAGGTGGAAGGCCCTAGCTTTGGGGTACACCAAGGCCCAGTGATAGAAAGAGTATCTCACACTGCTCTCAGGCCCTTGATACAAGAGAGGATCATGTCATTCCGTCAGACAGAGCAGTGCTGAGATAGGGTCTTCCTTATTTCCACCTTCCAACAGGAGTTCTGCCATCTTGCTAAGGTGCCCACAAACTAGCTATAACTGGGCTAGCGTTGCCATTTTACATGCAGTCTCTGTTTAGAGTTGATTCTCTGTACAGGTGCTACAGTGTTGTTTCTTTTAACAAAAAAATGTTTATTATATCATGCCCCTGTTGAAAGCCTCCAGTGTCTTCTCATCTCTAACAGACTCCTCATGATAGCCAGCAAAGCATGCAGTCTCCCTCCCTATCCAACCTCCTCTCCCAGCCCCCTCTCGCTTACTCCACTCTGGCCACAGTGGCCCCCTTGCTGTTTCTCGAACCACCAGTTACTGCCCTTGCAGTAGGAACACCGCACATGCTGCTCTCTCTGTCCAAATGCTCTTCCCTCAGATCTCTGCATGGCTTCGTTTTTTGCTTTGCTCACATTTCTGCTCAAGGCCACCTCTTCAGGGAGCTCTTCACTGACCATCCTACCTCAACTGGAATCATTCCCTATTACTCAATCCCTTACCCCACTCTACTTTCCGCATTACACTTACTGCTTAGGATGTTACATTACAAACTTACTGATTTACTTGCTCATTTATTGCCTACCCATCTAGTGGGCAAGCTCCATGATAGCACAGTGTATCATCTGCATATTCTCTGAGGTGAAAAAAAGTGGCCTGGCACAGGGTAGATGCTTGAAAAATAGTTGTTGAGTGAAATGGCTGAATGGATGAATATATGAAGATGGAAATGAAAGACACAAGGAAAAAGCCACCAGTCCTATACAGAGAGACCCTATGATCTAGCAACACATCTGTCAAAAAGAAAAAGAAAAAAAAAAAAAACAGAATCACCTCAAAATACCCACCTAAACTGGTCTGGACTTCTCTGAGTGTTAAGCTATAGTGTCATACATTTACTTTCAGAAGAACAAGAAGAGCAACAGGAACAATTTCTATGGATCAACTCTCATTTGTTCATGTGAGGATTACCCACAAAAAATATTTAAGTTCCCTTTTTGCTATCCCCAGCCATCTGGCTACTGCTGAGGCATGTGCCCTTGCATTCAGGTGAAACTAGTTTAAAGAAAGCAAACTAATCTTTACAGTAACCTAAGAGAAGCAGAATTAGAATTGTAAGTCTCCTTCAGACACACACATACACACACACACACACACACACACACACATGCATACACAAATTTATATTATCCATTCCAAACTCAAATGTGGATACCTTAGTGATAATCTAGTCCTTTGGATTAACCAGGCCAACTCTCCCCAGGCTTGCTACATAAAGTATTTACAGATGCAAGTATTACTAGTGAATAAAGTGAGCTTTACAATATGCTTATCCAACCCTAAAGTTCCTTAAGAACCAGGCCCATAGATTGGACACTTCAACACAGGGATTTCCAGCTACATCCATAGCATGGCAGTCAATTTCCCAAGAAATGTGGTTTAAGACCACTTACCAAAGGTGAGGAGGGCAGCAGTGAGCAGTGCTGCTGGGAGGGACCCGGACAGCTCCAGTACAGTGAGGTAGGCCAAAGGGACCAGCAAGGAGCCGAGGAAAGCACAGAACTAGGAAGGAAAAGAGAACAGTGAAACAGCCAGCTAAGCTAAGTGTCAGGGACCTATCTGACCTGGTATGCTGATGTCTAGGATGGAGGACCTGATAAAGGCATGACTTGGTGACCTAAAATCACCTATAAATAAGAAAGGGGGAGTGTAACAGTGAAGCATCAAATTCAGCAAACTTTCTGTTCCCACTGGGAACCAACTTGAACAGTGACATGAAATCAGCAAAGTTCAACTAAGAAGGTGTGGATAGGACAGCACAGTGTTTTCAAGTGGGGGAGACTGTGCCATCCCTGCTAGCTGTGCCTTGAGAAAGTTACATCTCTGAATTTCAGCCTCCCCACCTGTGTAAAATGAAAAATCAGAGTCCCTACCTCATAGGTTTTCCTCTGGAGATTCAATCAGCTGAAGCTTAATTAATACACAGAAAGTACTCAATAAACATTAGCTTCTACTACAGAACTGTGGGTACAAGTTGAGAAAGACCTCACTGAAGGCCTTTTAATATTTTAGAGAATTATAATGTTACTTCTGTTAATTCTCCCTTGGCTTTTTTCTTCAATCACACCAGAAATCATTTTTTTAAATCTACCGGTTGTATTTTAATTTTGGTAAAAAAGATTGCTTGAAACTTTGGTATTTGCAGGACTGTTTTTTCATTCTGTTTGTTTTTAACCACCAGACTTCTCTACCTCTCTACTCTGCCTATCAAAAGAAAATAAACAAGTCCAGGGGAATGGAAATTCTCACCTTTGGGTTGTCACTTTCTGTCAACAGAAAGCAATTGTGTCCTAATGTGAAAGGAAACAAAGCAGTTATAGCTAGCCTTCTCAATTTCCACAGCAAGCCCACAGCACGGTCAGGCCTACGTCCAATTATGTATGCTATGTGGTGTTCAAAAGTCATTAGGAAGACAGAGTCATTTGAGAGTAAGGAAGGAAGGGATACTCTGTTAGTACAGTAGGATACGACCACACACATCATCCAATGACAGTCCAAACAAGCACACAGCATTTATCTCAAGTGCTCTGAGCTCCTTAAGGTAAGGGGCTTGTAAATGCACCCTACTCTGAGAGCTCCACGTTGGAGGTCAGTTTCTGCAGGTTTCATTAGCTACAGGTACAGGGTTCCCACGGAGTGTTTAGGTCCTGCAATGTTCCAACAAGGCTGGTTCTGGGACTCAGGGCCAACACATGGCCCCCCCTTAAAAGACTGGAAACCCCTTGGGTGTGCCTGAAATCTTTGTGGGGAAAGAAGCAGAAACCTAGTGACGGGTGAGGGATGCTGAAATCTTAAGAAAAGTTAGGCAATATTCCAGGAATCGTGGCTGTGGAGAGGAAGAATGCATAGCTTGTCAATACTCTGAAGTTAATGTCAAGTCTGTAGGAGACTCCTGGCTGACTAGGTCCCAGCTGCTCTCCAACCTGAAGTCTGATGCCTCACCTGGGCAGGGCAACAGGTAACAGTGTGTGCTTGCTCCTATCTACGTAATCTCTACTATCTGTGGCCTCTCCTTCCCACCTTACCCATCCCAGTTCTGAATCTCTACACATGAAATCTCCATTACAGGGTGTGGGTCTAATCATCATCCCCTCCCCCTGCCTATGACCCCAAAGTCCCTCCTACACCTGTCACCACTCCAGGGCTTCCAACTGTAATGCTTCTGACTGACTGAGGCCCCAGAGTTCAGTCAATCTATATCAAGTCAGGAAGCCTTACTCCTCTCATTCCCATGTAGTTGTGATGCTCGTATTTGTCGCCAGGCTTCTGGAACAAAAAGGTACCATCATATCCACTCAGGTAGCCAGCAAGTCCTATTAGCATCTGAGGAGAAATGGAGAACAAATAAAAAGATGAGAGACCTCAAGAAGACTCCTCCCTCTCCTGAACATCTCTGCACCTGCCCCGAGACTACAGCTTTCCTTGACAACTGCACTTACAAGGAGAGGCCAGTGTGACGTTTTCTCCTGCAGCTGTTGGAGAGCAAAGAAGGTTTTGTCTACAGAGCTCACTGCTCGGAACAAATCCTCTCCTGTATCAAGGCCAAGTTCTTGGGAACAGGGCAAAATGAACTCGTAGGAAGAAAAACACCCCAAAATTTGAAGGGCAGAGCCAGCCAGGGGCTCTCTTATTCAACCTTTTTTCCTTTGCTATGAAATAAAACATGACAACTCATGGGGGAGGCCACAGGCAAGGGCTGATTCCTGGAGATGGACCCACTGAAAGGGAAATGGGGCTCCAAGTCAGAATGAGGCAGGAGGAAAGTGGCCAAGGCGTTACACACCAGCAACAGGGAGAAGGGAAGAAAACAGGAAAGAGGAATGTGAAGACAGATGCATTTCCTCAGAGGGAAAGAGAAACATCCCAGTGGAAAAAATGCCCAAAGGCAAGAGACTGTTGTAAACCATTCAACGTTCCAAAGGAAGGCAACTTGGCACATCCCAAAGCAGAACAAGTCACTATAAACTGAGACTGTGAGCCATGAATCCTTCAAAATGTCCAAGAGGATCAGCCTCTTCATTTCTATCTTCCTTTGGCCATCAACAGTAAAACTCTTTTTTCCACACAATCAGAAGCGGCTAAAACATAAAACTGTCAGCAAATACCGAGCATCTGTAACAGCTCCAGGCCACCGCAGCCTTCCTCACAGTGGACTATGAGGAACAGAGGTGACGCTGCAGGTAAAATGCCTGGTACTGTGCCAAGCACTCACCAGGCACTAGAAAGTCATTTCCCTCTCAGTTCCCTTCAAAATAGCTCGGAGCTAACTTCCTAACTAAATAACTCTTGCACATCAATAAGAAAAAGAATACCTACTAGAAAAAAGTACACATTTATAGAAAACAAAATACAAATGGCTAATAAATATATGAAGAAAATGTTCAACCTAACTCATAAGGAAAGGATATGCAAATGAAATAGTGATACACCATTTTTTACCCTCAAACTCGCAAAGTTTTGAAAGTATGATCATACGGGTGCCAGCAACAGCATAGGGGGAGCAAGCACCCTCACACACTGTTGGTGGGAGCAGATTATCACTACACGATTTTTGCAGGAAAACCTAGCACTGTCTAACACAAATTTAAATGTGCATATCCTTTGCCTCTTTAGTTTGACTGCTTGAGGATCTTTTAGATATACTTGCACAACTATGAGAAGACAGTTGTATAAGGATATGCTCACTGCAGTCATCTTTTGTAATGGCTAAAAATTGGAAATAACATAAATACCCACCAATTGAAGGATGGCAAAATAACTAATAGCACATAAATTATTATGTACATGGAATAATACATAGCCATTAAAAAGAATGGAGCATATTTCTATGCCAATATAGAAAGAAGTTAAAATGTATCATGTTTAAACTACATGTTGCTAAACACTTTTAGTTGATCCCCTTTGTATATATAAAGTGTTGTTCATGTGGACATGTATAAATATATACACATTTTATATTTGTATAAAAAATTTCAGAGAGGCTATATAAGAATCTGCTAACAAAAGGGACTGTGGTTACCTCTGAGGAATAGAAATGTGAGGGAAAGTAGTTTTTGACCTTTACTTCCTTTCATACTGATCACATTTTTTTATTATATGCAGGTATTTTTATTCCCCTCAAAGGTATGTTTGACTGGAGCCCACAGGCGCCCAGGGTTGGGGGCCAGCGGGCAGTGGCAGGTAGCCACCTCAGTACTGCAGGAGAAAACGTCCAACTCTCCACTTCAAGGGGCCTTTGATTCTTTGACCCGCTAAGCTACTTTGCTCTCTCTGACAGGTTTCTAATTTGCTCATTCCTTTCTTTCAACCAGGAAGAACCCAGGACTATCAGGAGATTAATCAGGAGGGCAAACAGACTAAAGTCCCTGGGGGCAGCCTTAGAAAGAAGCCTCACATTTCCCCTTTACACAGGAGCCAGATGTGAGGAAGGGAAGGAGTAAGTCAAAACCAATCGGCCGGTGTTTCCCCATTCATGTCTTCACTGTGCTGGGCACTAGGGGACTCCAAAAACCAACAGGTAGCCCCAAGCTGAAAAGACTATGCTGGGTTTCCTGTGAAAAATCTCCTCCACCAGTGGTCTGGTTCTCAGGCTAACCCAGTGCAAACATTCAGCATGTTCTGTTGCTTAGTCGTGCGGTAGTAGCAAACAGCCCGTTCATGAGGGAGCATGACGTAAGGATTAAGAGAACACACTCTAAGCCTGTCTGAACCTTGACTCTGCCAGTTATTAGTAGTTACCCCCCTATGGCAAGCTACTTATCTTCTCTGTGCCCCAATTTCCCCACCTGCAAAATGAGGATACAACAGTGCCTACTTCATAGGGTTATCCTGATTATTACATAAGATAATGCATCTAAACTGACTAGAGTAGACTGTATTCAATTGCTTGTACTTTTATTGTTGTTATCTTATTAAGGAGATGGGAAGAGGCATAACATCTACTTTTCTGGACTTAAGAGCTAATTTTGAAATAGGCTACCTATCCCACCTCCCTCTCCACCCCTCCCACCTAGAGGGGCCTTCTCTCTGGTCCCTACCCCATGTTCTCATGCTTCCCTAAGCCCACCTGTCACAGACCACCACCCCTGCCTCCATCCCCAAGTGCCCCATGCCCCAACATCACCCCCTCTTCATAACAGGCAAATTCCTGTCCCCTTGATACTGAAGATGCCAGCCACTAGTTAGGAAGAAAGGACTGAGTGAAAGTCAGGGAGAATCCATTAGTCTTCTCAGAGGTGTTTGTTTTTAAAAAGAGCAAAATGAATTCTGATTGGTAGAAGTTCTAATTGTAAAACATACAAGAGGTCCAGGTCAAACAAAGTGCATGCTGGGAGTGGGGAGGGGGAAAGGAATTCCCCTTCTTTGTGGACAACCAGCTCCCTCAGCTATTTTTGCTTTATGCAACATATTCCTTCTCTCCATTTCTTTTTTCTTTTTTTCAATTGGGGTAAAATTCATATACCATAAAATTCACTACATCCAAGTGTACAATTCAGTGGTTTTTAGTACATTCATAAGGTTGTGCAACCATACCACTACCCAATTCCAAAACATTTTATCACCTCAAAAAGACATTCCATACCCATCTGCCGTCATTCCCCATATGTTCCCTCCCTCCAGATCCTGGAAACTTCTAATCTAGTTTCTGTCTCTATGGATCTGCCAATTCTAGGCATTTCGTACAAATGGAATCATACACTATGTGTCTGACTTCTTTCACTTAGCATAATGTTTACTACAAGATTTATCTATGTTGTACCATGTATCAATGCTTCATTCCTTTTTTTGGCTGAATAATATTCCATTGTACAGATATACCACAGCCTGTTTATCCATTCATCAGTTAATGGGCTCTCTCTCTATTTCTGAGCCCAGAGAACTCCTAAAAACACCAAAGATTTTCTGTGAAAGCAGCTGATGTAGAATGTCAGAGAATTCTTTGTACAAGCCCAAGAATAAAATGCAAAATGAGGCTTGGTTCCAGCCCCTGGGAGAAAGCTGCCTTTCACCACTGCTCACCTTTCCCAGAGGTGGGTGCACGTCAAAGAAAAAGGTGCGGTTGATATAGTAACTTCCCATTTTTCCAAAGTGAGTCTCATCCCAACTAAAGGGAAAGCAGAAAGAGAAATGATAATTTTTGAACTGTCATACAACCCAAATAACCTTAATAAAGCACACTTAAGTTAAGGCCAAAGGCAATTAAAATGAATGAGAATTTAAAAAAAGCTTTTGACACAAGTGATTTGAGGAAGCAAGACATCAAGCTGGTCATTAACCTTCATTTACATAGAGAGAAAGGTCAGCAAAAATTTAACAACCAGTCACCATAAATTTAAGTTAAATCTATACTTACTCTTTATCTTGAGTTTCTACATACTTTAAAAGGACAAAGAGTTTTCCTATAACATAGAAAGGTTTGTAGAAAGAGTTTTCTTTCAAATCTGTTCACTTCTAACCCTCAACTACTAGAAACGACATTATTATTGATATTATAAGCTATACTGTGGCTACTGAGAGTAGCCTATAACCACCATTGTCATAGAAGTTGGATTTTGCTCATCAACCTGTGATAATTAACCTGCTGACTATGAATTCACTCATCTTATTATAAGAAACTAACCAGTGTATAAAAATTGAGGTAAGAGTCTATCTAAAACCTATCCTTATTGTACAAATTATTTTGCAAGTAAATAAGTGATTCTAATATATCAGCTTTTAAACACCATGTAAAAATCTTCTTCTATACAACCACATAAACCTCTTCACATCCTGCATGAGGACTTTCTAGCAGCAGTCCAGTTATCCAGCAGAGCCTGGCCATTTCTGTTTGTCAGGCTCCTCCTGCAGCTCAGGAGAAGGTTGCTTTCTAGTGACTATCCATTCCAGGTCAATTTCCATAAGCAGTTATTACCCATCTACAATGTAAGGGGCAAACATGTTTTTCCCAGAAATATAGGGTTCTTTTTGTGGGAGGGGCTTGTTTGTTTGTTTTACTCAGTGGGTCCAACTGATATGCAGAAAAGTAAATTACTTCTGCATCTGCTAAACACACTGCTTGACATGAAGTAAGGACAGTACTGATGATGTCAAAGAGAGAAATAACTTCCAAGCAGTGTGATGAAATAGATTTGCAGAAAGCAGAGAGATCCAGTCCCAGCTCTCCAGCTTCCTAACATCATGACCTGGCAAAATGCTCCCCCTCCAGATCTTCTTTCTCATCTACACATTGAAGACAATAACAGTATCTGCCATGCCCCCCTCGCAGGTAGTATTAGGGCTCGATTCAGATAATACACGTGAAAGAACTCCATAGACTATAAAGTCCTACACACACCAGGCACTATTTAAATTATATAAAAAGTTCCTACATTTGTGGTTAGTTTTAAGTCTTTTTGGAAACATACTAACAAAAGGGTATGAGATTTTTTTACTTCAAAATTTTCCCAAGTAAAACTAGTGGTAATATTCACATTTCCTGTCAGCTTGCCTGTGTGTGTGTGTGTTGGGAGAGACAGTCCTCCGCAGTTCTCCTGTGCTCCGAGAACTCCTAGGAACCCTGCAGGGTGTGCCAAAGATGCAAGGTCCTGACCGCTCTTTACTCAGGCCCTTTCTCAGGGTATGTATGCAACAAGCAACCACAGAGAAGAGTTAGCATCTCCCTCAGGACAGACAGTAGTCTTGTTTACTGCTTATTATAAAACAGCAGATCCCCCAAGCTCAATATTCCTCAGATGTGATGTAGCCCACTGCATATGCAGGCTTCCATCCAGGCCATGGCATCACATGGGACTCTGGGGCAAATGGGGCTGATGCCAACATGCTGATACTCATCCTGCTTGCCAGGCCATGAGAAATGAAGTCCTTTGCCTCTAACCCAGGATTTTGTTTCTGCCAGTATCCAGAAAACAGTGCAGGCTCACTTAATAGTTTGCAAGTAGGGTAAAATAAGATCCCGGAGCCTTGTAGCTTGGGGTGACGTGGATAAAATTGTGTTACTTCCAGAACCTCTCGCCTGGCCTTAGTGCATCTCCATATCAGTAGGTTTTTCCAAGGGGTGGAGAGAAGTCCATCTCTGTATCAGTAGGTAATTACATGGACGAGGGAGGGCATGTCTGGATGGGAGAGGTTGGGTCCCTTCTGCAGCCTGTCACAAGAGACATGGGAGAGCAGAAGCGGACGACTGCTTGTAAGCACTAAACGGGTTTTTCTCACTTTATTTCTCCCTTTGACTGATTTCAGTTTCAAAGATATTTTGCCCCAGGATTTTCCCCCTGGCATGACTGGTAACAAGCACAAGATGCTGAGTGATAACTTTCTGTAAGAGAAGAGACAAGGGCCCCACAGGCTGGGTTAGAGGGTGGACTCTGGTAGTGAATGCTCTTGCCCAGGTGGTAGGCAAGGCAGGTGGTAAGAGTCTCCCACTGTCCTTCCTATTAAATGCGGCTGAGTGGCGAGGCAGAATTGGAGCAAACTGTCTGAATGTTGCCTTGGTTACTGCTCACTCTCCTCTGGGCAAAAGGAGAGATATAATCATGACAATCGGACAGCAAGCTTAGCAGCCCCAGCCAACAGGCAACACGGATACAACTGCTGAATCAAGGAGTCTTCAAAGCTTGCAAAAATGGTGCCAGCAGTAAGGACCTTGCTATTCAACACAGAACTTTGGGTAAAATGAAAACACAGAAAGATCCCAGGTGAGATGCGTGCTCGAGTCAAGTGGACATGCCTTGCTCGGTGTGCTCTCTCCGACTCTGTCCCGCAGTTCCTCCCCCTCTACCATGACCTGGGCTGCTTTAAAGAGTAAGAGGATGAAGGACAGGGCCAAGGTCTCCCTGTCCCCAGTGGGGCTGAAGGCCATTCACACCCGTCCTAGTAGGCTGGTGAACTCCAGGAAGGAGAGGGACTCAAACTCAGGGCTCAGTTGGATAGAGGGGCCTGAGTTGCCACCCTACTCAATCCCATGGGGTACGGGGAGGATTGCTGGGCGCTGGGGTTGGTGCCGAAGATGCAAGGAGAGCCACAGCAGTGTGCCCAGGGACTGAAGGAAGAGGCCCCTAAGACCAGGTGCTCACCACACACACGGTAGGTAGCTCACTGGAAGGCAACGGTGCCAAGCCTATGGAGGGGAGAAGGAAAAAGCAAACTCCCTTCCACCCTCTGCATCCCACACTCCCCACTGGGAAATGGCATAACCTCTGGTGGCCTCCATTGTAGCTCTGATGCAGGCCTATTAGACTCATTTAGTTCAGGGGGAAAAAAAGCACCTAAATTAAACTTGAGCCAAGCTCCCAGTAGGGAGGGGAAGGTAAAGTGACCTGTGAGTAGGGCCCTTGTACTACTATTGCAGTTCCCACTGCTGAGAGTATAACTGGTATTGATCTTGTAAGTGTCGAAGAGGATTATCCCATTCAGAAACTGCCCCGTGCTGGAAGGTGATCCTGTCGCCTTCTGTCAAGTCCAGGACAAATAATATAAACCCCGGAAAAGAAAGGTAAATCCTTAAAGGCAGAATGGCTTCTTTCCAGAGTTGAGAGGGACCCCATTGTCCAGATTAATAGCGCCATCTGCTGGACACATGCACAGTAATACTTTTTCAAAAGGGTAGCTATCAACCTACTACTACTAAGCCCTCGCTCAAATTGACTGCCTTACCCTTGAAAGCCTTAGTTAGGACTTTTTGACTTGATGTTGCCACTTAGGGGTGGATCAACTTGGAATCTATCGCTAACAAGGGAAGAGCTCAATACGGTTAATGGAAATGGTATATACAAGAGTATAGCTGGCCCAGCCCTGGAGGTATCTTGGTTTTACATGAAGAGATGGCGCCTTCTCTTTGAGAGAAATTCCCTCTACCACTTGAAGCAAAGCCACCAGCTCAGTGGGGCCCTTGATTCACAGAGGTTCTTCTCAATTCTTGTGCCAGGTTCTGATGGTTGGGCTTAATTAAACGCTGATGGTATCCATTGGGTGGCAGCAGTCATCCAGCCCCAGTGACAACTCTGGAAGCCAAGTGCAGTAAAGGGCTGATCAGCACAATGGATTGAACTGAATTCATCCCCCTTGCCTTAGACAATACTCCTATGAACCAGACAAGTTATATTTTTAATGACTCTTGGGCTTTTGCCCTTAGCCTCACGTTCTGGTTTACCACTTGGAAGACTATACACTGAGAAATTAAAATAAACGTTCTTCAGAGCCAAGAACTGTGGGAAAAAATCATGGCTTTCCTGCTGATGGGGTAATCTGGATCACTCTGCAGATGCCCTTGGTAAGGGGCAGTATTCTGATAAAACCACCTGGAATCAAGCTGCTGATTAAGCCTGCACCCCCAGACTGCTGCCATTGACACCTGGACTCATCAATGCCCCAGGCATGGAAACATTTGCCATCATGGACTGGGCACAAAGTAAAAGACTGTACGTTGTTCCTGAAGCAGAAGTCATCACTGCATTATGTGACTCCTGCCAAAAGTTGGCCTGTTTGTCTTGCAGTAAAGGAAGCCACACTGCAGAGGACGCTGAGCCTGCATTGTTGGGGAAACTGACTCTACTAGAAAATTGACTATATTAGGACTTTGTTCCCCTCTCCAGGCTATCACTGGTGTCTCACTGCTGCTGACACTTTTTCAGGCTGTGGTGGTGATGATGCTGTTCTACTCCAATCATCCGATTCTAGATATATCACTGTGGCCCTTGAAACTAAACGATGTCATGTTTTCTGCTTTCCAAACCATCCACAGCCTGACAATGGTGCGCAGTATTTTGTTTTTTTGCAGTAGGTACCCACTAATGGGCCAACAGTCAAGGTATCTGATGACATTCCACACTCCCTACCCTCCACAGGCACCTGATACTGTCAAGCACTGAATAGCCTTCTCAAAAAGACTTCTGACTCTACTTCCCTGACCTCCTCCTGCTTCAAACACCTTAATAAAGCAGTTTGGTCATCTCATGCAGCCATCACTAAAAAGGATTTGTCTCCTCTTGGCCACCAACTGGGCAATGATGAGGACAAAAGGGGGACAGATAAACTTAGTTTAGAAATTTAAAGAGATTCTTCTCTGACTATCCCTGGGCATGATCCTTCTTTCCCCTAGATCAGCCTGGGCAAAGGGGTGAGGGGACATCTATGGGACTCAAACCGAACTGGAGTCCAGTCACCTGGATTTTCTTATTGGAGTGACACGGTCCTAGATAATGATTATCATAAAGATAATGATTACTTGGTTGAATACACTGCTTGTCAAGTTCCCCTACAGTGGCTTACATGAGTCAAGGTAGAAGACATAATGAGTCTGTGCTCATTTCCTAAGTATGCCCTTGACAAAAAGGTCTGGATATTGGCAGGGGCTAAGCGGAGTAAAGGCGAAGTTACAGGTACTAGAGTGGGATGCACTGATTACATGGCAGTGGAAGAAAAGAAACTACCCTGGCACCTTAGGAGGGAACATCTTAGATGCCTAGAAGTGTAAAAACAAATGAAACAGTTAGTGCACTCTTTCTCCCAAGCGCAGCACCCAGCCTGACAAAACACTCATATGGTACAACTAAGTCAAGTGGCAGCTGTGGCTGGCAATCTGACCTGCAGCTGAGTCTGTCATGCCACTATGAAGTTGGAAAAACTTATGTGGACATAGCCAGTGTTCAACTATTCTGATATGCCTGATGACATCAGTACCAACTCCCAAACATGGATGTCTCTCATATGTGTGCAAACACACAGACCTGCCCAACCTTCTATCAGTCTGACTGATACAAATTCATATGCTTCTGACACTCTAGGGCCCTTAGGTTATGCCTTATAGAGGCTGCAACTACACAGCACATTTACCACCCAGGTAGCTTAACCAAATCACTGTAATGTTGGTTTAAATGACACTTGATGGTAATCCAAATAAAATTTAATAATCCTGAACTGGAGGGACATGTACCCCTTCAGATAATATGACCATGTAGGCAAAACATGGGTCAGCTTAAACACCTGTGGATCAGAATGGGTAATAGTGGCTGGTTAGCTCAGTTGGTCAAAGTATGGTGCTAATAAGGGATAATAGATTGGCCTCAGACTACATGAAAAAAGACTTCTTGGTCCTTCCCACACCCCATCCTGCCCCCCCACACACAGTTATTCACAAGGGGCTGAATCTAGGACCCTGGATGGCATGGTTGAGGTTAACACCAAGGGTTGGCCTCATCCTGCTGCTTAGAGTCCAACTGACGGTAGCCTTAATTAAATGCTGTATGAGACAAACCGAACAGATTTTTATCCCTGCCTCTCTCAGCCAAGTTAATCAGAGTAGCCAATGGCATTGCATGTTCATGTGAAAATTTGTTAGGAACCAAAACAGTGTAGGACTGAGAGGTAAGACTGTTGGGAGAGACAGTCCTCCATGAGTCTCCTGTACTTCCCACACACCTTGCTGGGTATGCAAAAAAGGCAAAGCCCTTCCTGCACTTTACCTGAACCATTTCTGAGTTTGTACCAAGCAACCTTGAGAGAGAAAGTAATATGTCTCTCCAGGACAAAGAGTAAGCTTCCTTACTGCTTGCTATAAAACAGTAGATTCAAGCCTGTTGTTCCTTAGCTGCAAGGAAACCCACTCTGTGTGCAGTCATCCATCAGAGCCCCTAGCATCATCCTGTGGGACTTGGGAGGCATGAAACACTGAACCCAATATACTAACGTTCATCCTGCATTCTGTGCCATGAATAATTAGTCCTTTATCTCTGACCCAGGAGTCCCGTGTCTTCTACCAGCACTCATGAAACAATAACAACCTAATTTATTAACTTCCAACTAGGGTAACTCTGATACTTTGTTAGCTTGCTTGCTTGCTTTTTGGTCAAAGTTTCATTGCTGACATCCCCTACACTAACTTTCTGCTCAGCAATACTAATTACATGGCAGTGGAAGGAAAGAAACAACCCTAGCACCTTAGGAGGGGATATCTTAGATGCCTAGAAGTGTAAAAACAAAAGAAACAAGAGAAAACATGGTGTAATTTGCTTTTCATTGGCCAAAACATAGGTTGACCAAACAAATGAACTTGTTTCAGATTACAGTATTCCTCCTTCCAGATGGAGACTTTTTAAGCTTATCCAATAAAATTTGACTCCTGAAATTGACAAAATACAACATTTAAGAAAGTCTCTCCTCACAGAATGACCCCAGACCTGCTTTCTGGGGCCCCTCATCACCATCGGGGACACACGTTGTCCCTGCTCCAAAGAATGAAACTATATCCTTGTTAGAAATTTTCCCCTCAGCTCATGCCTGGAAATTATGCAGATTAGGAACTCAGACTTCAGGGAATTCTGTACCAAGAATTTGAAAAGCACAGTTTGGAAGCCAGATGAGACAAAACCTGCAAGACAAGAACACTGCTTCCTCCGACCCTAAAGAATCCCACTTCCACCCACCAGAGCGGAACGATTCCGTTTGGAGGCTGCACCTGGCCGGAGGTAACCACCAGAAACCTGTTTTCCTCCAGCGCGGCCCCGCCCCTCTTCCTGTGAATCTCTCCCCGGACCAATCAGAGGGCACATCCCTCCCCCCCAGTTGCTATGGTGCCCTCGGAGCCCCTCCCATCACTCACCAGACGTGCTGAGGCTCTTCCAGACGGTGGAATCGGGTGGCGAAGGACAGCAGCGTCACTAGGGCCAGCAGGGCCCACTGGCCAGCCGCCTCGAAGCGCCCTGAACCCTGAGCAGGCCGTCTGGGGCTCTGCGCTGCAGCCTCGGCGGCCATGTTAGGGCGCACGGTCCTAGCAGTCTGGAGCCCAGAGCGGCCCCTCCGGGGACGCAGCTCGGACCCTGCCAGGCCTCCGTCTACAGAAGGCGGCATCCTTTCCCACTTCAGGATCGCCCTCCGACCCGCAGGCACCTGGATCTTGCGAGCCTCCCCTCCGAGAAGCCACAGAGGGGCAGCTCGCGGTACCCTGGGAAATGTAGTTCCGTGCGCCGGCAGCGGGGCGCGGGGCCCCGGCCTCTGGGCTGGGCGGGTAGCACAGTCGCAGCCCCGGCCGCTAGGAGGCGGCTAGTGGCGCAGAGCATGACGGAGCGCGAAGGCGGGCCTGGCCCGGCTGGGAGAAAAAAGCTCAGGGAACTGCAATTCCCAGCCGCGCCGGGTGTAGGGGCGTGGCGGCAAGACGGGGCGAGCTAGAGGAGACCGTGAAGATCATTCTAGTCCAACCCCTCCCTTTGCCAAGACGAAAGCCTAGGGGCTGACGTGTCGGGCTCTCACAGGCCTCAGTCATCGACGCGTCCGGAGAGTCCCAGGCACGAAATTTTCTAACCTGGAATAGGGGTCGCCCGAAGTGCGAGATGCAAGCGGGGAAGGTCTGTGCCGCGCATCTGAGTAGAGGGTTGTCGCTTAGACTTAATTCCGTGTGTAGCGGGGGATGGGGGTCGTGGGAAAGGTGAGTGGCTGGGCTCCCCCTCCAGTTCGGACAACGTACTACTCCCAGCATGCAGTGCGCTCCCTGCTCCTCTCTGCTCTGCACCTGCGCGCTGGGTTTGTGGCTCAGAGAAGAGTGGGCTGAGGCGACGTACCCTCGTGGGGTATGGTGGGTAGGCATAGGTCGCTGTACCCACGTGCTTCACCTGCCTCTCCCTATTCCGTCTACTAGGGCTTCCAGACATCGACCCTCGCCTGTCTCTTCTGCACAAACCCTGCGTGCCCCTTTCCCAGCTGGCCTGACAGGTCCTAAAAACATACGGTTTTCCAGGGTCGCTTGCATTTTGAGAGAGCACTTTTAAGTCATCACAGTCACTTGGGGAGCTTCTCAGTCCCGCCCTAGATGCACCGATCTCTGGAGGAAGGGTCCCAAGAATCTGCATGTTTAAAGTGACCCATATGAGCCTTATTAAAGTTTGAGAACCACTGTTGTAGCTCAGAGGAGGGTGGCAACCACATCAGGTGTGATACAGCATCACTTTAATAATGTATAGGCCTGCCACTCCCAAATAGAATTTTAGGAGAGTTTCTCTAAATTGTGTGTTAGAGATGGTTTTAAAATAAAATCTGCTGTAGTGCTCAGAACTCACCTTAGAACTGGAAACAAAATTCCTCCAGGAGTGGTGATGAGATGGCTATTGTCTTGCCAATGGGTTTCAGCCCCAAGCAAGTTCGCTGTGGATTCAATGTTACCAAAGAAAATGACAGCAAAACGTTCTTGTGGTGAAAGGGTTATACCCAACTTTATTTCCACGGTGGCAGGTCAATCACTAAAATCCTGTTCTCTCAGAGCAAGTCTGCATACAGCAAGCCGTTCTCTGCCTCTAGGCCCGCACAGCAGTCTTCTGGGCCCCTCTGCCAGTACAGCCGTCCTCTGGGCCTCTGCTCTGCTCTCCTGCAGCCTTGCAGTCATGCCACCACGTCGCCCAGAGCACTGGGCGGAGCTCTTTGTATAGCGTCAGTAGCAAAGTATTGCCCACACATGTGTAGTGAGCTAGCCGACCAGGGCCAGGTGAGAATCCTGGGCACAGGAACTTTCATTTTATCCACACTACTCTTTCTTTACTTGGGCTTAAAATTTAGCTTTATAAGTGCAAAAAGGAACATGGTGTGGTTTATAGTTATCTTTGGTAAGAATAGGAACTGCTGTCCATTCCATCTACAGATGGCCCATAATTAGGAAAGCTGAGGGCAGTGGCATTTAAGTGACTATGATCAACCTTAGTACAGGTCAAAGGTATAACATTTAGTAATTAGATAAGGCATTTCTTCAAGGATTCTAAGCTAATGTCTGCAGTTCTCTAGTGGTCTCATCCCTCACCAGCAGTCCCTCTCTTGCCCCAGGGAACCCTTCAGCCTGACCATGTACCTCCCAATAGGGTACATCTGATTGGGTTGACTTAACTTCTCCCCTTCCAAGAACACTGCTATCACCTGCCCTCTGCCAGAACCATCTTCCCTTTTCCACAAAAAGGTGCCTTTAATACAGAATGGAAATCCTGGGCACAGGAACCAACTTGGACGGGCCTGGGTTCCTGCTCCGTGCCCTTGACTACCTAGAAGTTCGTAGTTCAGGTGTGAAAGCAGGGTCACATAGCAGCCTGGTGTGCTGGGGGTGCAGAAGGAAGAGGGAACTTGGATGAAATGTCTAGTCAGAGGGGTGGTATACAGGGGTAATCTAATAAATTCTATTGAGTTCTTTCTTATCCATATGGATAAACATGTGTCTGCTGGAAGATTCAAGAGTGCTAATTACTGGTAACTCCTGAGTCCTACTTTGAAATGTTGGTTGCCCAAGAAGCACCAGAGAAGTTAACAAGAGTCCCTTAAACTTTAGAGGAAAGGTCACACATTCAGCAGGCAACCTCCAGGTCCCTCAAGGTAAAAAAAATGAGGGAAGTGGGCCAGGTAGAGGCCAGAGCAGATCAGAGTGGGCATGCCCTGACTGAAGGGGCCATTAATCTGCTCCAATCATTGTTGCTATGCAGGAGCCCTGTCCACTATCTCCAGATATTTTAAGAAAACAATAGGATTTGTACAGGAAGCATCCCAATCTTTTAATTTGGCAACTAATTGAAACATTTTTAAATTAAAGAGTAGACCAAATAGAAAACTGCCGTGCTGCCAGATGGGGACCTCAGCTTTGGGGCCAATGATATCCCCCAGTTATTTTTGCGAGACCAACTGAGATCCTGGAGGACTGGTGGGTGGGCATCAAAGCATCAAAGAGACGGGAACCAAAAGCATCAAAAAATTAGAATTCCTAGTCTTTCTGCTACTGCTGGAAGGAATTAAGCTATCATTTTAGAGCAACCCTTCATTTTACAAATGAGGGAGCTGAAGACTAGGGAAAGCAGAGATCTGTCCAATCTAGTTCCCGCAGTGGGACTAGATCCCAAGCATGCCAGCTCCCAGCCTGCACTGTACTGCCCCACATGCACTACTGCTTGTCTGTAGTGGCTGGCCTGTCTGCCCTGGACACCAAACCTGGCTCCCCCAGGAGCATAAAAACTTCCCACAAGTTGGAAAGAGACGCCCTTTCTGACCAGAGCCGAAGTTCCCCTGATGCCTGCCTAGCCCAGGTTCCCCATTGGCTCATGGGATCCACCCCTCCAGGGCACCTCCCTCTGCCCTGCAGCTCGTGAGAAAGGGACATTCCTTGAGAGGCTGAGGGTCATCACAGCACCATGACTGAGTCTGGCAAGGTAAGGAAGGCACCTACAGGCTGGTGGCCCCTTTTGGGGCCCCTTGGACCTCAGGAAGGCATGGCAGTACAATTTGGAGCTGAGGGACTCCACACGACTCCCAGGGCCTCTGACCCAGAGAGCTCTGAATCTGGCCAGAGTTGCCCAGACACAGGCCTGGGGAAGGAGGCCCAGCGGGATGGGAAGAAACAGTGCTGGCTTGGAGTCCCTGGCTGGGGGCCTTGCCTCTTCTCCAGTGGGCTCCTGGGGTGGAGAACCCACCAAGATGGATTCATAGGCATCCTTGTTCTCTCTCTCCACAGCCCATCCTCTATTCCTATTTCCGAAGCTCCTGCTCATGGAGAGTTCGAATTGGTAAGAACCATGCCCACACCAAGAGCCTGGGTGGGGTGGGATCAGGTGGGAGGCACCCTTGGTGAAAAGCTGGCCTGGGACAGAAGGGGTACTCTGCCAGACAGGGTACCACCCACAGCAGCCAGCATCTGCAGTCTCTGGAGCCCCCAGCCTAGAAGGACACCTCCACCTAGGAAATCCAAGAGGTGTGTGGGGATGGCAGAAAGGGAGGGTTGTTTTCTCTCCCAGGCCTACCACCTCTCCCACACTGCTCTCCAAAGCCCGTTAGCAACCATGCTTAAAACAGGCTCAGAAAATCCAGAGGTCCTAGGTAACTGGCAGGGAACAGCTGGCCTTCCTCAGTGCTTATCTTTTTTGATCAAGCAAATTAAACAGAACTGGCCAGTGTCAACCGAGGCATCGGGAAAGCAGAAACTGTGGCCCTTTGGTTTAGTCCTTATTTGACCCTTCCCTCCTCCCCCAGCTTAACTTAGCCCTTGGCAAAGATCAAAGCTGTAGCAACTCACTCTGAAGAACTGTGCTGACTGCTTTTATGTGCATGATTCCTTTTAAACCTGACAGCCCTCAGAGGGAGGTACCTTTACTGTCCCTGCTGTACATGTGAGGAAACTGAGGCAGAGGGAGGTTAAATAAGTTGCCCACAATTAAATAGCTTGGTGACAGGCAGAGCTGGAATTTGAACCAGCTAGTCTGACTCCAGAGTCCATGTTCTTAACTGCTACGCTATGCTGCCTGTCAAATGAGGAAACAGGCACAAAGGTTCATTAAGTTATTTGCCCAAGGCCAAACAGCTAGGAAATGGATGATACAATTTGAACCCAGGCAGCCTGCCTATGGGAGCCTGGGCCTAACTGGGAAGAATACCACCAGGACCCTCCGCCATCCCACAGTCCCTTGGGATTTGCTGGAATTAGCAGGCAAGAGCCCTGGAGTGCCAAAGGAAATATGTCTCCAGGAAGACACCTTCCTGGGCCCAGAGCCACTTCCCTAGCTGGGCCAGACCAGAACAGCATGAGGGCTGGCACTGTAGGGCCTGCACGATTGGCCTCTCCTGCCTGGAAGACCAATTCCACCCTCTGGAGTAGAGATGGTCAGCCGTGTTCCCTAGGCTCTCTTCAGATGTGTCATCCTCCTCCCCTCACCCCTTTGCCCATCCATGTCCAGGACCAGCCATCACCATAGTTTAATGCACATGCATGCATACACACACAGTCTCCACCATGGTTGACCGAGTGTTTTCACCCTCACCTGGCATGGGGAGATTATCAAAGCAGACGGAGAGGAAATCTGGTCACTCTGTGTCACAACAGATGCTCTGAGGCCACCAAAGAGCCCTGATGCCTTGCTTTGAATCTGCAGTAAACAGCCCCGAGAGCAAAGAAAATGGCTTAGAAAGGGATTCTTCTCTAGACAGAAAGCGTGTGCTTTGTGGTCACCTGAGCACCTTCTCTGGGCCCCTAGATGCGTTCATGAGGGAATCATTGCATGTCTCCAACAATTCAGCTCTGCTCTCCACTCGGGACAGAAATGAATAGGCC